CACATGTTAATAATACCACACACAGGACTTTGTGTTAGCTCTCCTCTAATACACCTCACCTGCACATTGACATCAGCACCGTTGTTTACCAGCAGCTCGAGACACAGCACTCCGCTGGAGGAGGCAGCACCTAGATGTAACGGTGTGTTGCCCTGGTGGTTGAGTTGGTTAATGTTTGCACCGCTGTTCACCAGCTCATTGGCCACAGTGTCTTGACCCGTGTAACAGGCCATGTGGAGCGCTGTGCTCCCAAAATTGTTGGGTTCATCAGTCTGAGAGAACGTGAGTGAGAGGAAGTAATTATTTTTGGAAAAAATAAAACATTCCAATGCCCAAACCATTGTTTGCTAGATATTATTATTATCAGGAATCATTGTAAAAAAAGGTTTTCTACAGTATTGTTCATGAGAAGCCACTTTACCTCCAGCCCCAGCCCAAGCAGATAGGCGACGACATCTAACTGTCCACTGGCAGCTGCTGCATGGAGCGGAACGTAACCACGTTTGTCCCTGCACGTCACATCAGCACCACGAGTCGCCAGAAGCTTCACAACATCCACGTGTCCTTAGAAGAGGTAAGTAGAGCAAAATTAATGTTTATTGCAAAACCCTGTAAATGAAACGTCATTGCCATATAGAGGATCTTTTTTTTTCATTATTATTATTTTGTATTTCTGTAAAACCAACTTGAACAATAACTCTTCTAAATTCCATTATCATTTCACTACCTTGGTATGCAGCCCAGTGGATTGCCTGCCTGTCCTTCTTATCTTTGGCACAGACACTGGCACCCTTGTTCAGGAGCAAATTCACCATCTGCAGAGAGACAGTATTAGCATGTCAGTCACATGTCATCATCTGAGCCCAATCAACAATAACCGACAGGACAGCAGGGTATCTTCTGGGTCGTGGTGAAATACACATCACATCAAGTTGCTAAGGGTCCAAAAATGAGGACAAAATGTGTTTTATTTTTTGCAGCGGGTACATTGCCCTTTTTGATAACCATTACTGTGTACCTCTCCATGGCCACTGTGGGCTGCATGAAGGAGTGGCGTCCTCCCTGAGCGGTCAGTAACATCCAGGCTGCAAACATGTGGAATCAAAGCCTCAGCACAACCTAAGGCCCAGTTTGCAGCTGCCATGTGTAAAGGTGTGTGCCAGAATTTGTCCCGAACATTGACCTCTGCACTGTGCTTCAATAGCAGCTCCACAGCCCTCTACATAAAACAACATTTTATTAGTAATTTTGTTTCAGTTGAACATTGGAATTACATAATGAATCTTTTTTTGGCAAAAACACACTTGGCTCCGTGAGAAAGCTGCTCGATGTAAGGGAGTCAGCGAGCCCTGGTCCTTGGCATTGACATTTGCACCTGTAATACAGACCAAAAAACGTATGCATTAGGCTTTGTTCCATATCAGCATATGATAAACTTTTTGATACAGCAAATGTTTTTCTACCTGAAGCTATAAGTAGGTCCATTATGTGGACATCACCCAGATAAGCAGCAACATGAAGTGGTGTGCTTTGTTGTTGGTCCTGAAACACATTTAATATATATATATATATTTTACATAGATTAATTTTTTTTTTAAACTTTTATACAATTTTTTACAAAGATATTTGTCTTGGACAGGAAAAATATGTGACACCATCAAATTGTAATCACTGAGATAAAACTTGAAATATTACCAGTGAGTTAACATCTTCATTGTGGTTCAACAAGAATGTCACCTCCTCAATGTTTCGGTTGAATATGGCTTGGACCAAAGGCGACTGAAAATTAGATGGAAACAAGTAGCAAGAAAATGTGCATGTGCAAAATGGGACAAGTCAGTTATTTATGCACATAACAATTATACAGGTCGTACAAGGAGCTAGCAGTGGTTTAACATTGCAAATGTCAAGATCATAAAGAGCCGCTCCACAACTCCAAAGGGGGAAGAATAATAACATGACTTGCAAAAAGGCTTCAGGGAGCTTGTTATGAAATGTACAATCCACCCCATATAGTCACTGTTACAAAATGTGCTGTAAATGCCAGCAGGCGTCTGATTTCCACTACAACCAATGGGCAAATTTAATAGGACAGGGATTAAAGAGATGACTGGTGTCAGAGTGAGTGAAAGGAGAGTTGCCACGGTGGTGCAAATGTTGTGGAGGCATTTTCACTGACCAACTGACCTCACTATTAGTAGTTTGAAACTATTTACATAGTGAAAATAATAACAAAATGTACTTTTTATTCTGTCTTAAAACAATAAACACAATAAAAACACCACCCCATTTAAGTAGGGTAAAGTTGATTTTTATTTTTACTATTCATCATTTCATTTATTGTTTTTTAATTCTTTTTACAGTACACTGTTGTTCACAGAGCATGTGATGTACAGCATGGCACTTTACAAAGCTCCCTTAACACAGCAACCCTCAGATGTATTTTTTTTATCTCACCACGAGGGACAGAAATAGCGTCAATGGCTACAGTTCTTTCATCAGCAAATGTTATACAACATATTAGAATAGTGAACATGTAGTAGACCATGATGTCAAGCTGAGTTACTTAAAAATATTTTAAATATCTTAAAATAATTAAGGAAATTAGCTTCAATATTGTTAGGGTCATGTGGGGAAACATAAATCAGCAATATAAATAACTCTGTTATTGGTTTGGTGAATATTCAATGTTTTCTCACAGACAGAAATAACATCAAACATAGTTGATGTTTGAAGTACTCTGCAAAGTCGTGATGCGAAACACAATCAAACCACAATGTTTTTCGTTGCAAAGGATCTCGCTCGTTTAAATGGATGCGTACGATTGTGTGGTGCTGCAGAACGAGACGTGTGTGACAACAACAAGCCTTGTTTAAAACTTTGCTTGACATGTCGCTACCATGACTAGCCAGCTGTGAGCACCGTTAGTTGTGAGTCATCTAAGTCAGCTATTACAGTAAGACAAGACAACGGCAAATGTTATATCTACTACCTGGTCCTGAATATTTCTTAACTCCATGACCCAGATGCTCTGAAGGATCCGTCACTGGGACTGTGATGTTTAAACTGACTACATATCCCTCTGCAGCAGACAGCAGCCTGTTAGCCTTAGCTTAAAGTTAGCCTCTAGCTGGCATGGTGACGTAGAATGTCAAGCAGCTTCCAAAATATCGCGACAGTCAGAAAATAGATGGGACTTGGAACTAAATTCACAGTTCATTTATTGGATCTACGTATTCGTTTTTGTTTTGTTTTTTCTTTAACGTTTCTTTTTCTATATACTGTATATATAACTTCATATTTAGCGTTTCATTTACAATTAAAAATATATATTTTATTATAAAGAGAATGTTTACATTCTAAAAACAAGGTTAAATTCGTAATAATTATATTTTTTACCAAGTAGTTTAGCATTCGCACTTTCCCCATAAGTATGGAGAAAGTAGTTTATACCCTGTTTTAAGGGTTGGTGTACCTGACAGCCATAACTCAGGGCAAAACACACTATCAAAACCAGTAACCAATCAGACGGTTCCAGAAGAATTGCACATGCGTAGTGTATGTTTTAGAGACGACTTTGAGGTAACGTGCCGCTTGCTTAGCATCACATTTATAAAGAATTCCCAACTAATGGAGATTTAACCTCGAAGAATCGCTTTACTCTCACGTACTGTTTACGAAGGTAAGTTTGTTAAATTACTCTGTTGACGTAACGTTACGAGATTTAGTCAACCCGCGAACACACCAATGGGACTCGTTAGCTGACATAAGAGTTTTGACGCAGGTTTCTTTGAAAACTCCAAGATGAATCGAAGGTGATTATCAAAACCGATCTGGTTCATGGTCCTAGACATGAAACTTACATAATGTGTGATTTACTTTTCAGTCAGCACATATGTTTGATTTCACGGGACAAAAGTTCAAGTTATCAATGTGCAGTGGGAACATTACTCGGACATTTTGACAAACCCCTTGAATCCGTGACTTCAGGAGTGCGACTTCTCACGTTAATTAAATTTTACATTGGCGTAATTATATTGACAAAGATCAGACCGATCAATTGTAAGAATGTCCATAGAAAGTTAGGTACAGCTTTTACTTTTTTCGATTACAATTAAAGTGTCCCAGTGTTCACCGATAAACAAGTAAACTGCATATATATATATATATATACGTATATATTTACGTTTTTGTTAACAATTTTTAAATGACTGTTAACTATTCATTTTTTTCCACTCGTTGTCAATTCAGTTCAAATAATTTAACAATAACAATAATTTACGTTAGATTTTGACATATTTTTCATGGATCTAAATTTCAAAAGACACGTGTTAAGTATTTAAGATAAATGTCATAAAACAATCTCTAACAACCAATTGGTTTTTTTTTTTAGATAAGCGGTTAGTCTTAAAAATGACATTTTATCGTGTCTCACTTCTGCAACAAATTACACTAACGACTACTAAAGGTGAATTGGTCATTTGTGGTGGTGAACTTTCATCTGTGACAGTACAAATGATTTAAAAAAACAATAATGAGTCCATTATTAAAACAGTATACAGAAGTAATGAAGCTCCCATTCAATCTTAGCTTTTGGTTAATCTCCATTAGTCCTGATATTAGACAAAGAGGTTGTTTTTTTTTCTTTTTTTCTGCAAGTCTGTGAGAATATTAGACAAAGAGGTTGTTTTTTTTTTCTTCTCTTTTTCTGCAAGTCTGTGAGGGTTCACGGGTTTGTGACATTTGTGATCATTTTACAGTTTGGGAGTTGTCAGCTGTCACAGCTGTTCACTATTGATTGTAAAACCTGTTGTGTGCAGATTAGACGTCTACAGTGTGTCTTGAGGCCAGTTTGGGAAGAAAGATGAATGTTTTGGTGTTACTTTTACTTAATGATTCAATAGGAAATAAATTATTTATATTACAATTTATATTGTTAATTAGCAGAATAATGAATATCATTGCACATGTTCATTTATGCTGCTGATTTGTTTTATTACCGTGTACATGTGGACCCGTGTGCACCTTGACAAGAATAGTGCTGACAGTGGCAGTGACACGTTTAAAGACAGTTACACAATACTAGACTGGACTACAGGTCGGGTGGGGACAAAACACACTAATGTGTCGGGAAAACAGCAGAGAAGGGGTCACAAGCAGACATTTTAGAAAAGCAAAGAATTTTAATCCCTGCTTATTTATTCATTGACATGACAGCAATAAAAGCTTGTGAATCAAAAGCTGAAGTGTGGGAGCTGGCACATGTAAAGGCAAAAACAAGGGAACTCTGCAGAGATGTGACTGATAAGAAATGTTATCAGGAACTTCAGGAGAAAAGTGATTAAAAAGACTGATCTTTTGTGCATTGGGGGAAGGGTAACTTCCACTAGTGACTTCCACTAGAACAGTCTTCCGTGTCTACTGCGTCACCTTTTACATCATTTGACCCGAGTCATGTGCCTCTGGACGACCCACACACTCTCAGTCAGAGAACACTGTGTTCAGCATGTGAAGCCAAAACTTTGTCTTTTGTTAGACCTTTTTTTTATTTTTTTTTTAAAAAGTCAGAAATACGTTTTTCACAGAAGAATGATATCAGTGTTGGAAGTGAAAACCACCGATGGTCCGTTTAATGTCTGAAAGAAACGGTCCTGTGAGTGTGAGAAACCAACCGACAGCATCGTGATAATCACCGTTTTCTTCTGAGCCGTCAGCGTAATTCAAGCTTATTCAAATAACATAACTGCTGTTTTCTTTTCCACAGGGGGGCTGACATTGATCCCTTTAATTCCCAGGGATCCCCCAGCCTGCCCCAATGAAGACCGAGCAAGACGAAGACATTGTTGCAGGTAAGTGCTTAAGAAAACAGAAACTCTGTAAACTGGGAAATTCAGTTTAGACTACACTCAGTGTCAGAACCTTTGTCTTTGCTCAAAACAATTCCTTTGAGATCACAGTTCACAACTGTTTGACTCTGCTGCTTATTTGTATTTTGGCTTTTGGCAAGTGTCTAATTTTACTTGTCTCTGCTAACGGTCAGTTACTTTTACAAAGAATGTTAAAATGTTGTTGCGACACTTTGAGGTGGAAAAAAAAGGATGTTAAAGTCCAAGTCACACAGAAAGCAGAAATGCAGTTCAGGAGGCCACTGTGAAATGAAGGTTAAAAAAGTCCAACATTCAAACTAAGTTAAGTTACATGATCTTTACCTTTCAGCAGAGGAAAAATTGTCAATGTTCATCATTTTTTACAAAGAAGACTTTTGAACAAACACCTTTTTTCCTTTGGCAATGTAGTTTGAAATGTTTATGTTTCTGTTACACAAATGACTGTTTATGTGTTGCAACAGCTGTTACTGTAATACCAACAATTTAATAAAATGAAATCTTAGGTTAAGCAGTGATCAGACGTGTTTGATAAACAAAAGGCTTCACATGTTGCTGTTGCTAAAATAGACATTTTGTGATAAATATAAATACAGATCTGTGTGTTTATATTTATAACAAACCGCTCACCTTCTGTTTTTTAATCTGTGTCATTTGTAGAGGACTCTCCTCAGGAGAATGGAGTCCAGACGTCACAGTACAGCGCCATCCCTCCGGTGGACCAGGAAGAGCAGTTCTCCACATACTTTGAGGACAAGGTGCCCATTCCTGAGAATGTAAACCAGGTACGGGTGACCAATGATTACCATTTCACAAAAATAATTTTGAAGAGAAAAATAATGATTTGATTATGTAAAAAAAAGATAAAAAACAAGAACATCTGTGTTCGTAGTTGTTCAGTTTCCGTAAACTCTGGGCCTTCACTGGACCAGGGTTTTTGATGAGCATCGCGTACTTGGACCCAGGAAACATTGAGTCTGACCTGCAGTCTGGAGCTAAAGCTGGCTTTAAGGTGAACATTTGAACTAAATTGAAAAATTGCATTGCACTGTCTCACCCATGCAAATCACTGTGACAATGTGCTAACTTTCTCTTTCTCTCTCAGCTCCTATGGGTTCTCCTCTTAGCCACCATCATCGGACTGCTCTTGCAGAGGTTAGCTGCACGCCTCGGGGTCGTAACTGGGATGCACCTGGCTGAAGTCTGCAACCGGCAGTATCCTACTGTGAGCATTCCTGTCTCTTAGGACACGATGTTAAGTTGAGGTTTAAATAATAGTAATGAATCAAAAGCTCACTAAAGGAATTTCTTTCTCAGGTTCCTCGGATCATCCTTTGGCTGATGGTGGAACTGGCAATTATTGGCTCAGACATGCAGGAAGTCATTGGCTGTGCCATAGCCCTCAACCTACTCTCTGTGGGCAGGTAAAATAATTACTTAGTTATTCTTCAACTTGTTTATGGCACTAAGTTTTGTCTATGAAAACACAAAATACATTTTGTAATTTCTTCTGTCAAATACATTGTTTTGACAAACTTTGATAAACTATTTTTTGTATTTCGGTTCATGACCACGTGTCCCTTTCTGTCTCTTCCAGGATCCCTCTGTGGGGAGGAGTCCTCATCACCATCACCGACACCTTTGTCTTCCTCTTCCTAGACAAATATGGTACATGAGCCTTTTTAGCTGTGCAACAACTGAGACGTTTCTTTTATGTCGTGCCGCTCAGTGTTGATAGACTCTGTATGTTTCCACAGGCCTGAGGAAACTGGAAGCCTTCTTTGGTTTCCTCATTACTGTAATGGCGCTCAGCTTTGGTTATGAGGTGAGGCTCCATTGTGTTTGTGATATAAATAAAGTATTTTTTTTATCCTCAAATGTTGACATATTTTTACCCTGTTGCTTGTCTAGTATGTCCTTGTGAAGCCAGACCAGGGGGAGCTGCTGAAGGGGATGTTTGTTCCGTACTGTGCAGGCTGTGGGCCTGTGCAGCTGGAACAGGCGGTGGGAATAGTCGGCGCTGTCATCATGCCCCACAACATCTACCTGCACTCAGCACTGGTTAAAGTACGAAGCACTTTGTTGTCACATGCAGAGGAAATACATCTAAAATGATTCATTTAAAATTAGAAATAAATCCCTGTTTTGTTTGTTTGTTTTTTTTGTTAATTTTCTGGTTCTTTTCCTCTTGTGCCAGTCTCGAGATATAGATCGCAAAAACAAGAAGGAAGTGAAAGAAGCCAATAAGTACTACTTTATTGAGTCAACGATCGCTCTCTTCATCTCATTTCTCATCAACGTCTTTGTTGTGGCGGTCTTCGCTCAAGCCTTCTACAATAAGACCAACATGGAAGTGGTGGGTGGTCCTACAAAAACACTGTGCTTTTTACGGTTTTTCTGACTATTGTTCTGTGCTTGTACTATTTCTCACTTTGTTTGCTGGTTGCAGAATGCAGAATGTAATGCAACTGGAAGTCCTCATACAGATCTCTTCCCTCTGAACAACGGCACACTGGAGGTGGACATCTACAAAGGGGTACGTCTGCGAACAAACATCAAATATCCACTGGGTTATTCTCATTATCATAGATTTGGAACATTTGAAATATTTACAGATTTATCAGAAGACCACTTGTGTGTTTTCTCCAGGGCGTGGTCCTGGGCTGTTTCTTTGGCCCGGCAGCTCTTTACATCTGGGCCATCGGGATCCTGGCAGCAGGACAGAGCTCCACCATGACAGGCACTTACTCTGGCCAGTTTGTGATGGAGGTGAGCACAGCTGTTTGAACAGTACCTGGAGTTTGGTTTGTTTTGTTCATGTTAATAGTCATTAATGACTAGTGTTTACCAGGGTTTCTTGAACCTGCAATGGTCCAGATTTGCCCGAGTGCTTCTGACCCGCTCCATCGCCATCACACCTACTCTGCTGGTTGCCATTTTCCAGGATGTGCAGCATTTGACTGGCATGAACGACTTCCTGAATGTGCTTCAGAGTATGCAGGTGAGATCAGTCACCTGGAAAACGAGTCGTGTGACTTCACCGTCCTCTCACAATCATCTCTATTCTGTGAAAAACATTTTTGTGTCAAGTGATCAAGCTGACTGTTTTTCTTTTCTCTCCCAACAGCTTCCATTCGCTTTGATTCCAATTCTGACTTTCACCAGCCTGACCTCTATAATGAATGACTTTGCCAATGGATTGTGAGTAAAGTGTTTTTTATCTATTTCCTCAATTACATACATTGTTAAACCATCATATTACATAGTAATTTATATAATAAAATGTTATTCCTTTGAGATAATTCTACTGCAGTATATTTTTCACCACTTAAATGATTCAACAGGGCAAACCTGGCCCATGGGCCTTGAGTTTGACATGTTTTTAAAACACGCCCATGGGCCTTGAGTTTGACATGTTTTAACATCTGATTTTAAAACACAAAAAATGTATTAAAAAGGTTTTAAACACTAACAAAATAAAATAAATCTTGCTTTTATTTACATTTTAGAAGATGTATAAAGCTTCCTGGAAAATGAGTTTTTACTATAGAGAGAGACAAGAATAACTGTGACTCATGTTAGGGACTGTATTAGTCAGTGTAACAGGAAACTTGTGATTGCTCACGTTATTGAAATAATGGCAATTTTGAAATTTTGCAATAGTTGACTTACCTTTGTATTTGTGTGTTTTTGTTTTTTTAGGTTCTGGAAAATCTCCGGTGGCATCGTCATCCTGGTGGTTTGTGCAATCAACATGTACTTCGTGGTGGTTTATGTGACTTCACTGAACAGCGTGCTGCTCTACGTCTTCGTTGCCCTCCTGTCCTTAGCCTATCTGTGCTTTGTGGGCTACCTGGTGAGTTATTACCACAACCAGACGTTCACTTCTGTCTACTTTCAGCAGTTTGGCATTTTGTGATTTTTTTACTGGTTGGCTTTTAACAAGAACTCTTTGATCACTTCTGTCTACTTTCAGCAGTTTGGCATTTTGTGACTTTATAGAATAGAATAGAATAGAATGAAATAGAATACAGACATGCACTGTTGTATTTTGACCGGTGTCTTTCTTTTTATGTTGTCTGCAGGTTTGGCACTGTCTGGTTGCGTTGGGGGTTTCCTGCCTGGACTTTAGCAGCAGGGTAAGAAAAGGACCTGCTGTGTTGATAGAGGAGGAGTCTGAGTACGACTCATAAAGCTGGACAGGAACATTTACCACCAGCATTCTTCTTTCCTCCCTAAGAGACTCTGAGCCCTGTACACAACCAGGACTTCTCAAGATCATGTAGGATCTTGAGAGAAATGTTCCCTGCTTTTGTCACGTGTTTATTTTGTAATCCGAGTATTTAAATGTGAAAATTGGTTCAGTTATTTCAACTTTTTAAAGGTCCATCACTGGCATATGTTGAGGCTTGAAATTAAAGCTCTTAAGGAGCTCTAAGGACCGGGCCTCAGTGACACATCTGAGTGTCCACGTCCTGTTCTGTTAGCTCAGTGGTTTCCTAAGTCGGGGGGGGAGTGGAAACACACCAAGGTAAATTTATTTCAATTTAAATATTTTCTTTAATTGTGCTGCAGTGAGTTAATTACACTGATTTGTAAAAGTACTTTATTTTTCCATAGACAATAGAAGTTTTTTTGTTTTGTTTTTTTAGAAAATTACAGTGTTTAGCAAAAGCTGTGAATCTGTGGACATGAGGGGTTTTGACAACAATACTATCTACACAAGGGGGCGCTGCAGAAAAGTTTTGAGAACCACTTTGTTTTTTGACACGTTCTCACTGATCAGTAGCTGCTGCAGCACAGTATCCATCTTTAAGAAAGTCCACGCAGTAACTAACAAACATCAGTATGAAGTTACAGCGCTGCGTTGTTAGTGGTTTACCACCATGAGAACTCGTCTCATGGTCAATATTCTGCCGTTAGAAACTTTGGAGTGGTTTCAGAAATGACCAATTAATAATGACTATTTACTGTGAAGCTTGAGCAACACATTGAAATTGTTCTCTTACTGGAAATGCTCATGTAATGACCTTACGTTAGCAAATCCACTCATGTTCAACATGTCTTTGCTGCTTTATACCGTTTGATTTTGTCCGTTGTCCAGTAGTTAGAAGGGAAAAATCTCGACCTCACGTTCACTTACGCTTCCACTAATACGGAGATATTTACTAAGTATTTCAAGTTGTTTTCTGTTCATTGCAGAAGCACATCTGTCTCATACACAGATCAGCAGTCAACATTTGGGCCAAGTAAAAAGTGAGACACTCAGTGACTTTGACATGTGGCAGACACAGCCAGTATACCCTGGGCTTCTGAAAACACATGTAGCTCAATGCACAAAATAATAAGTGTTACACTCCTAACATCTGTCACTCTGACGTATGTACGTGTGACCCACCTGGGGTCCGTTTTTTGTTTTTTTTTAAACTTATTTAGAAATGGTTCATTCAGTACTGCGCTCTTGTTTTCTCTCATACTGTGGGACTGTCGTTGTCCTGGTGGAAGGAGGAGGAGCTCATTTCTGTTTTCATGTCCACCCAGTCTACCTCAGTGCCCCCCCCCCCATCCCCTCACCCTTGTGCATTAACATTTCTTTTGCGTAGTGAGGCAGAGGTCTGCAGTATTTCATTGTCAGTGTTGAACAGAGGCGTAGTAATGTATCCCCAGACATTAGTCTGTTGGGGGGGGGTGTCAGAGTGAGCTAAATGAGCTAAATTTCTCAAAAACACTTAGCAATACAAGACCAAAACAATGCCTCCACAAGGTGCATTTTTCAAATCCTGTTGTCAATTATTATTGCTATTGTTGAAAGCCAAGTGAATTACAGTATTTATGCACATAAAAACTATTGTAGCAGAGAACCAGACCAGTAGACTAAGACATTTCATCTGTGTTATTGCGCTAACTGCAGGGTAGAAAACACTGAAGCCAAATTCAACTCAAAATATTTCATATTCCACCTTTTAAACTAATGTGTGCACGTGGTGTTTCATTTTTTCTGCTAGCTCCAAGTGTGATGAAATTCTTAAACTCAGGAGCTAAATTCAAGTAAACAAACCTTCTGATATCACCCTGCCTGTTATCCAGGCTAACTGTGTTAGCGTGGCTAAAACTAGAGAAGTGTTTTGTGTAGGTAAGAGATATCGCTTATACTGTACATATGTTGGTCTCGGTTTTTTCACCTCAAAATTGTTAAAATGTCAGCTCTGTTGAAGTTTTTTAAAGAGAAAATCGTTAAATGTTGCTATGAAATGTACATGTCCAGAAGTATTAATTTATTTCTGCTGTCTGTGATTTAATATAAAGGAGATTAAAAAAATATTCCTAGTTCTGTGCCTGTTTTGTGACAGGATGATCTTGTAAACTAAAGTAAAAGAGAAAAGTTCATTAACTGTTTTGAAAAAAATTGAGAGAAATTGAAAATAATACAAATATATTTTATTATTAATATATTATTATATTACATATATTATATTATTATTAATATATTAGAAAAATAAAAATAAATAGAAAAAAAGGTATTTGTGTCGTGGATTAAAATAAAAACAACTTTGCTTTGGGGAAAAAAAAACAAACAGAATTAACATTCAGCTCGTATATTTAAGGAGTGTTGTGGGACAGTGCTTCTTTCCAGGATTTTGAAGGCAAAAAATGAGGGAAAAAATAGCATCTTGACCAAAGGTGAGCATCTCTAAGCACTCCTTTTATAATCAAATAAATTCAAACTAAACCAAACTCTCTTAATATTAATTAGAACACAGAATTTTGCACAATTATCTGATTTCATGCCCTATTAATCCAAACTTAAATAAATCCAATGCGGTATCATCATGGTTGATATGGAGTCGATGTGTTTACTAAGCAGCAATTCTTTTGTAGACTTGAATTTTTCACTTTCTTGAATTTCTTGTGAAAACAAAAAATGACAACTATTCTTTTTCTTGTTTGTCTTCTAGATACCAGTCAGTTTTATGCGACAGCCAGACATTTACCTGTTGAATGACATGGACAGTGAGCCTGTGGTTGAGAGATAGGACCGACTTTTGTGAGTGAACTGGAAGACGCTGACGTGCTTGACTAAAATCTTCACCTGCCTGTGCCTCACTCTTCTAACTGCACTCGTTCAGACCTGGATATAAACCTCTTCATTTCAGCAATGCCTCTTTTTCAACATTCTTAGCCAAGAAAAACAAAAAAACAACAACAATGATCTGCTGATGTTTGTTTGAATGTCCAGGTGCCAGGAAAAGACACGACCTTTTGAAGCCATTTAACTGGTCTTTACAGTTAACTGTCCAGTGACAACCTGAATAAAACATAGATTTTTACAAAATAACACATATCCAGCCACAGATACATGAACACTGCTGACTACTGTTGGACTTCTAAGGACATGTTTTTTAGTTCTCCTCAACCTCACACCGTTAACAGCAGGATATCCAATGTGATTTTTGTTGCATAAGCTATGGCGTGTTTAAAGTTTGTATACTTGTGATGGTGCAAAGTTAATATCCTTTATTCTTCTCATCTTTAAAATAACTACAAATACCATGTTAAGAAAACATCGTACATCTCAGAAAATGTGACAAAAAACAACTCTAAAAAATGTATAGATGAGCAAAATATTAATTTATATTATCATTATGTAGTAGAGATTTACTCATTTTTACAAAAAATATATAGGGCTGAGCTTTGGTCTCGACAAAAGTACAAATTTGCAGGAATGTTAAAAATCCCATAGGTCAGTCTTCCATGACGCTGCATCAAAGTTAAAGAAATGAATTCATAAACAACATAATGCACTTAAGGCCACACATTCCCATTCGTTGCATAAATAGATTTTTAAAAAGGTCAGTTTTTATGATTCTTGTATTGTGTGTCATTTTTATTTAATGTTTATTTAATTAGTAGTTGCACAGTTTGACCTCACACTTGCTTTTCACCTGAGCAACAGAAACTTTAAGCCTTGTGTTTATGAGGGAAGTTGTGAATGCATTGTCTGTTAAAAATCAGAAACGTGCTGCACAGTTATACAAAAGACAACCTACACCAACTGCTTATTGACGGATGTTATGAAGCAGGGAAGATGCTCACCTGTTATAGTCAGGTGTCTGTAGTCTGACGAAGACGTGTATCAGTGTTTGACAATGTCAATGACAAAGACTTAGGGACGTTTGACAGAAAAGTAAGATTTGTTTTTATTTCTATAAAAATATCTGGATTCTGAGTAACCTGAGAATTGCTTCAGTTGTTTAGTTTCTTGCTTATGTTTTAGTAGAATAACTTTTTTTGTTTTACATTAAGGTTACAATTTTAATTATTACTTTCATATTTCAACAAATGCTGAATCTTGAAGAAAACATCTAAAATCTTCAAGATATCATTAGGGAAAAATGACAAAATTTGAAGAAAACATCTAAAATCTTCAAGACATCATTAGGGAAAAATGACAAGTGTGTCACTAATTACCTCCTTTCTACAGTAAGTGCTTCTGTAACATATGCACACATACGTCTGCACTACATGCTGTTTCTGCTGTGTCTTCCTTGATTCAAAATGACCTGTGTTACTACATTAAAGAAGTACATCGTGTGTTTTTGCAATGTACATAAGGTGGCATTCTGAAAATAGGTAACAACTTCAGTTTTATTTTTGGGATTGTGTATCAAATTTGAAAGTAATATTTCCTAAACTTGGGAACAGGTCAGGATTGTCAGAGGACATTTTCTGGTTTCCTGTCTTGATAGAAAACTATACTCTGCTGTGTTTCTGATAAAGCAAATAATATATTGTTATTCGACATAAATTTGCAAAATTTGATTTTTTTTTAAAGGTGCTACTGAAATGTTGTATGATGTTGTATTTGTATACAGTCATGTTTCTTCTGAGCAGCAGCTTGTTGAATAAAGAAAGTTTGTGCCTTCAAACTGTTTTTTTTTTTTTTTTTGGCGTGGCGCAGATTGTACGTTTTAGCATTTGCAGTCATTGCATTATGAATTGCCTATTACTACACACAATTATTATTATAACATCTATAATGTTATGATTATAATATCCAATGCTTTAATAACACGAGAACAACATGGGCCCCTCAAAAGGACGAACAGCTAATCGCAAGAGCTCCAGCTAGATGGCTAAAATCGTTATGACCTGAATTGTGCTGGGTCCTCCCAGACTCTTGGGGGTGCCATTTACCGTCGAACGGGTCCCGTTCAGCGACTATGCTGTCTACGTCACCATATTCGGCGATGTAACGTGTTGTAAAAGTTTGAAGGAGGTTTCTAGAATCACCGACAGTCTCAGGTAAGTTGAATGAAAAGGTGAACTCAATTTTCTCAGTGTTGACACAGGAGCCGCAGTAGACTGTGTTTATGAAAGGAAGATAAAGGTAAAGCAGCTAAGCTCTGACTAAAGCGCTGTTTGACACCGGCTGATGTGTCCGTTCCATAGTAAATGATGCAAACGTCTCTGTGTGTAGGTGTAAAATGAGGGACGCGGCCCTGCTTTTGTTGTCGTTCGTTTTTCTGTGCCCCCTCCTGGGTCTGTGTCAGGCAGCCAGACCGGGACAGGACATGAGATGTGGAGGTAAGTCTTTGGTGTCTGCTGGTGGTGGAGTTAGGGTTCATTCATCGATGTCCAGGTCTCAGTGTCTCTTCCTCCACCTCCCCGTTTTCAGCCTGCAGGGCTCTGGTAGATGAGATGGACTGGGCCATTTCCCAGATAGACCCAAAGAAAATGATCCAGACTGGATCATTCAGGATTAACCCGGATGGCAGTCAGTCCATCAGAGAGGTGAGTGTTAATGTGCAAAAGAAGAGAAGTAACGTATTTATCATCCAAATACACAAAAATAAGTTATATGTTATATATATTATAGCATTTATTTATTATTCATTCATATTTACGACTTATGTACAAGAACATTTAATTGGATTGAGGATATTTTAAATATAGATTTCCAGTAGTTTGTAATCAGTTGCAACACAACAGGTTCCTCTGGCTCGCTCTGAGGGAAACCTCCTTGAGCTGATGGAGAGCATCTGTGAGAGGATGGAGGACTACGGCGAGCACACGGATCCATCAACAAACAGGAAGACCTACATTAGGATTAAGTCTCGGAGCGGTGAGCCCATGGACCTGTCAGAGGCCAGTCTGGATACCAGAGTCACCTCCAGTTTCAAATTTGCCGTGAGTCTATAGATCCATACATTTTTGGATTTCATTATCTGATTTTCGCATGTAGCACCGTGCGTTGTACAGTTTCTTAGTTTTACCTTTCTCTGATTTCTTTAGTGTGAAACAATTGTCGAGCATCACGAGGACGAACTCATTGAGTTCTTTGCTCATGAAACAGATAATGTAAAAGACAAACTCTGCAGCAAAAGGACAGGTAAGACTCGAGGTTTTGTTTGTTTTACTTCATTATCTTGTATATTTGGAAACCTGTGTCCACTGTAATATAAATGAGCAGTTTGGGATTGCATATGAATGTCATAATAGACTTTGTTTAGACTTCTCAGAGGCCCAGCTAAGCAAAATAAACAAACAAAAAATAGAAGATAAATGAAAACTGAGGGTAATGACCCTGTTTTCATCCCTGATGTGAGCCTCCCATGTTGATTCCTGTGCTTTGTTTCTTGCAGACCTCTGTGACCATGCCTTGAAAATTCCTCGTGATGAACTTTGATGTGACCTTGCCACAACTGCCCCCACATCTCAGCCGAAATGCAGACGCTCTGTGCTGTAATGGTAGCCTTTGTCCCTGGCGGTTAGGTATGGCATTTAAGATTCCAGTCCATTTTGTCAGTTTTCCCCCTGCTCTGTCACACGTTTCCTCTAAGTTATTATCCTTTCACGTCTATCACATCTTCACTCTTCAAGTATTCCCAGATAAAATCCAAACTGTGAATCTGCAAAAGTTGAATGATTTCAAAGGTGATTTTTGTTTTTTGTACTGTGTACATTCAAAATTACTCTTTTCATGTACAAAGATCGGGTTGAATTTCACGGTTCAGTTTATACTAATGCTGTCTGACTAGTGTCGTCTGTTTAAACAGAATTCTGTGCTTTTTGAGTTTAACCATATTAAGGACTTTTAATTTAGAAGAATTACATGTAATTGTCTAATTTTATATGAATTTCTGCAAATATGTGAGTTGATCTATAATTGATAATTGAACTGATTATTGTATTTCCTAAATACCAAAACGTCAACTTCAGAAAATGAAGACTTTAATGTGTTAGTGTACATTAGATTACACATTCAACACAAAGACACTGTAGAATGAATCTGTACAGTGGCAGAGGCTTCAAATTAGCTGCGGACATAAGAGACTGACCAGTGAAAGGGCTGAAATGTTACTGGATTTGGATTAAACTGTAACCAGCAACTGTAGAAAAAAACCAAACATCTTCCCTAGTTTTCCTTTTAATTCCAGACGTGTTTTTCTGACAGACATGAAGGTGAACCTCATGCTATACTGTCTGATCGGAGAGTTGTTAGATGTCATCATTGTCATCGTCTTTGAACACATGGACATGGATTTGCTGTCGCATGAAAATTCTCTTACATTTGTCCTTGTTTTTATAAATAAAGTTTTGTATCTTTTCTGCAGCTGCTTGTATTTTATAGTTTAAATCAGTAACCTCTCTTGGGTGTCGTCTTCTGTAGCAAGTTAGCAGCATCACAGGTGACTCCAAAGACACGTCTGTTGTTTGTTTACATAAAGCTACACATTTTATAAAGAGTCAGTAACAGTTCACGTTTTATTCATTTCAATTTGAATTGCACAACATATTCTATTTGCCAACATTTTTTATTTCCAATGATCAAAATTCAATACTGTCAGAATTTCCTTATTTATTTACAGAAATTAAACCAAAAATAGAGGAAAACAACCCTTGCTCGCTCTTTATAGACAAACTGTTCTCCTCCAGCAGGGGTGCTCTAGATGCTGTTGTAAAGCTATGCTCCCCGAGGTTGAAAGCAGGCAAATTATTGCTTTATATCATGTTTGGGTTAGTTGAGTTAACATATTAATTAATTATAATGTGTTAACTCGCATTAACATACAGTATATTAGTGTGTTAAAATAAATAGAATAAAAAGTAAATTCATTATCTACAGTAAAATGTTTTCTCAAAGGTCCAGCTAAGCTAAGCTAATAATGCTAAAGAGTCACCATACCTGGAGACATGGACACTGTGTCCATGTCTCCCTCGTTTGACTCACTCTCTCTCATCGCTCTCTTCTACGCAGCATTGTTCTTCATCTTCATCTGTTGTTGTAGAGCTTTGGTCAGGTGGGATTTTCTCAGCCTCCTCTTCCTCTCCAATGACAGTATCTCCAGAGCTGTGGCTGCTGAAGCTGCAGCAGGACAGAGTGTCGTCCTCCGCACACCTGCTCTGATCAATGTCACATGGTTCCGTTAACACCTGGTATCCCCCGGTGACTAATGTCTCGTGGTTAAATGCTAATAGCGTATCAAGGCTG